AATTCCAAACGAATATCCCAGAGAGACTTAAACAACAAAGGAGCTCTCGGTAATACCGGAGTTTTAGCTGATACTCTGGCGGAGTAGCCACTAACCTCAGCCTACTCGTCCTCAAAACACTAGCTGACATCCGTGTCAGATGGGACACTCGGGACTTCTGCAATACCACCGACTTAATTTGCCCTTCTGAGACCTGGATCCAAGAGAATAAATTGAAGACTCCACTCTTCCTCGCTGAATTTATCCCCGTTTGGTTCCTTGCAATTAAACATAGAGAAGGTAGCAGAGAAAGAGCCAGTGTAGGTCTTCCCACACTTATCAGAAGAACCTGCAATTCGACATCTTATGTATCAGAAATGAATGTATTACCATTTCAGTACATCTCTTCAGCTGATTAGCCTACGTCTTCTCATTCTATTTTCCACGCAGTTCAAAAATCTCTGGAAATTTTGAAGCTCTGGAGGCCTAGCTAGCAAGTATCCATGGAATACAGAATGAGCCCTTGATCATTATAGGAGCTGACCGTAATTGCAGAATTGGACAACTTGATACTGGTGGTCGATAGCTTCTTCCAGAAACGTATCTGTTTCCGGACCGTCTCTCTCTGGACACTGAAACCACAACTCAGTACTATTCAACCCTAATAGAATTCATGACTTGTAATGGGTTCATTGTCCTTAACTGAAGAACGCCTAACAACAGGCCGGCCGCCTCCATCTTACTGTCACCTACCGCCAAGAGTATAAATGACCAAGTGTTTATCAAAGTCTCTCATATTGATCTGATTGCAGACCTGCTGGTTGACTATTCCATAATATCCTCGGATCATGTGCCCGTAGTTGTATCCTTCATAGACCAAGAACTTCTTCAGATTCATCTGGACTCTAAGCACCAGTTATCAACACCTGAAGTGAAAACAACCAGATCGTGAAACGTATATCAATTACATGCAGCCCTCAACACAACCTCCAGTTACCCCACCTGACTCACCTGTTTCACCTGTTTTACCTATTCCACCTGACTCACCAATTTACGAATCAGCTAGATTGCCTGGAATGGTAGTTGAAAGAATCCATAGCTGCAAAAAAAGGTAGAAATGAGATGAAACCCTCGACCAGGACTACAGAGCTGCGAAAAATGAAGAAAGAGCGGCCCGTTACAGGGCTAAGAAGACTCACTTAAACTCACCAGAGCTCACACCAAGAATCGAACCTGTCCCGTTCCACGTGACGGGATCCACTACACCTCCATTGTAGCACTATCATCAAACTCACTTAAATTCACCAGAGCTCACACCAGGAATCGAACCTGTCCCATCCCACGTGACGGGATCCACCACACCTCCATTGTAGCACTATCATCAAACTCACTTAAACTCACCAGACCTCACACTAGGAATCGAACCTGTCCCGTCCGAAGAGCAACTTCGCCAAACCTGATCTAAATCACTTCATTAATTGCAAAAGTAATTTTAAGAATCTGAACGATAAGAAAAAATGACTATTTGAACAGGAGTTGAGAGACAGACTAAATAACGTGAATAAAGCGTCTTGACATCTGGGAAGGTGTCCTTCAGGGTGAATTGTTAAGCCCCCTGCTTTTCATACTCTTCCTGCATGATACTGACTCCTCTCTCCGTGGCACCGACATACCAGACAAAAGAATATATGGACTGAGTGTTACTCATCATCAGGACGTTCTCACCCTGCTTTACGCCGATGACGTTATCATTCTAACCCCAACTCCAGCTTTACTGAGAAAAGCACTTAAAGCGCTCGAGAAATACTGTGCAACCAATGGCCTCCCGGTTAACACGGAGAAAACACAGATCGTTGTTTTCTGAAATGGAGGCACAGTGAGGCACCTGGAAGTGAAAAGCAAGCACCAAATGACGGAACAATAATTATAACTACTAATTTTGCATACAAAGCGAAACTTTCAGAAGTGGTAAACAACTTTGTTTATGTATGAGTTAATTTCTCGTCCTCCGCCCTTGGCAAGCTTGCCATTCAATATGCAATCGAAAAAGCCACGTCTGTCTCAGGAGCAGTAATCTCTATACTTGCCAGACCAAGTGTTGACTCCTGGTCTCCAGCTGAAAAGCTGTACAGGGGTATGCTTGCCTCTACCCTATTGTATGCGTGCTTTGTTAGGGACTTCGATACTGCAAGCAAATTGAATCAGCGCAGGTAGGCTTCGTTAAAAGACTTTTAACTCTCCCAAAGAACACTTCCAACGCAGTGATACACCTGGAGTCCGGTCTACAACACCTTGCACTCTCCGTTCTGAAATTCACAGGCCAATGGATCGTCAACACTTTTGAAATAAGCAACGACAGGTACCCCAAGATCTGCTACCTCAGATTTATTGAACAGCTGGATAATGGTGCGACCGACAGCAGATACAACTGGATACTGCAAACAGCAGAACTTTTGGAGGGCATCTAATATCCTAACCTTCACGCGTTGCTTTCCTCATCAGATCTGGAGAGCTGGGGCGACACACAACCTCGTATTCTAGAAGCCTTTGGCTCTTGTTTATTGAGCAGAGATCTTCAAGCAGCCAGCAATCAACAGTGCCTGCACCACCCTTGGCTCCAGTGGACAGCGGGCTCTGCAATGGGTTAGTTCACTATCAAGATGCCCATAGCCTTGAAGAGAGTGCAAGCTCAAATTCGATCAGCCAACAGGGTGTCATTCTCCGTTCCAGTTGAGAGCAACTTCGTCAAACCAGACCCTGCGAACAACTGCACTGTCTGTAATCTACCAAAAAAGAAGCCCGCACAGCACATTATACTGAGGTGCCCTAGATATTTCGCTGCCAGAATAAAACATTTGATACCGTACTTTCGTGAAGGATGGCACAGGGAAAAATTGATTGTGATGCTGAACAATAACTTCTTGGAAGCAGCAAGAGCCCTATATCTTTTCCTCGTAGATCCCATGAACATCAGAGCCGATATGCTGACTATGTGTTGTAAGCGATTTTCGCCGGTGCTTCACCGGCAAACATTTCAAACTCTTTTGGCATTTTCTCTATCGCTCAATTGTGTCGGGCGCCAGCTGGATTTTCACGGAAAATCCTACGCTAAACCGGCCTCAGAGGATAACTCGTCTACCCTAAGGACTTCTCGTAGCGGGACTAACAATGCCGAGCGAACATCAGCGTAAAACGGTAGAGTGGGCGAGGTCCACCATACTAGGAGTAATTCACTCGATCGATCTTCGTCTTTTCAGCCGAGAGACGTCGATAAAGCGTATCTTCCAGGAGCCATTGCTCCATGTACCTTTCGCCGAGGATGTTTCCATTCCTCTGACGTATTCCTTTCCTCTCCAGAGTGGCTCAACTCTGGAGAAGTCGACCATTACCTGCGAATCCTTCTCACTCCTCGAAGCGCCGAACACTGAGAGGCACATGCGCCACAGTTTTCTGGAGACTTATTCTCACCCATCTGTGCCCACCCCAACACAACCTGAATGCTCGGTAAAAGCACTATCATCGCGGGCCAACACCCAGATTACTCGTCGTGGAGGCACGTGCGATCGGGCCTCCAGGAGTCGGCCTAACTCCCGGCCCACGGATCCACAGCAACACCACTTCTTTCGTCCGAAGTGATACATCTCTGAGAACATGGAAATAAAACACCCCACGTCCTCAAAGTAATCCGATCATTCTGTTTGGGACGCCGAAGTGTCCCATTCTCTCGCTGTTCCGGATCTTGTCCTCACAACGGACCCCCATAATCCATAACGGATTAATGCCACTTACGAACATCGTCGAGGACCGGACGATTATCATCCGCTCGACTCCAGTGCCTGTCACCGGCTGTCTCGAAATCTACTAGGGCCTTCTCTCCCTAGTCTGAATATCTCAGCGGCGGTGGGTCATCCGTTACCCCACCACCACCAATCAGCTCGACGGCAATCGAGGGGGCGCTAGTCCTCTCACCTAGCTGTTGGTCCCTAGTCTAAGTCGATAGCGCCTCTAGAATCGCCCAGTTGGAACGCCAGTACGNCGCTGGCCCGTTTCCCCCAAACACAGCTGGGCGAGTTTCTAGATAAGGCGACAGGGTATCAACAGCCTCTCTATAATGTTCAGAAGCATGGTTTCACCCAAACCACGCCTCTTGGCATTATTTGATTGGTCTATTCACCTCACGCGTGGTTGACTTAAACCGCCGTTCGATGTCACTCTCATCTCTTGCTCTTCAGCTAGCGTTAGATATCGCTCTCCTCTCTGTCCCTCACTCTAACTATTCTTGTCTCATGGGTTTTCGTGTTGGTAAAACAGTTTACAGTAACGAGAAAATCTCGTTACAGTGTTGAGAAATTCTCCTCACTTTTTCGTGATTTCAATCCTTCAGATCAATTGTTTTGAAATGTTGAAAAATCGAGCCATATCGAACAGTTGGTAACATTTCCAGTAGAATAAAAAGAAAAAAAGAAAGAAAGAAAAGAAGGAAAAAAAACAAATAACAATAATATTGTAATTGAAATTTGAACTGATCATGCAAAAAACTTTTTACAGTATCCAATTTGCCCACATGTACTCCCCTTGCTATGAGGACCCTCTTGAGAGCAATACACAATGAATAAACTAAAATAAATGACTAAAATGAATGAGTAATTTTCACTAAAACAGTCCCGTAAATATTCACTTTCGGCAGTGACAATATCGTTCGCATCGTTGCCCAACAAAATATCATGTAGGTGTGAGAAATTTTGTTGTACACGAAAAAGCCATTTTTGCTCCCAGGAATCCCGGAAAAAACCACCATTGCAAAAACAGATCCAAGAGAATTTTTAAGTTTTGTGGGCTGTAGCACGTTTTGTGTGTGGCAATTTTTCCTAGTCTATTTTTTCCACCAACTCATTTATTTCCTACCATCATTACTTTTAGCATAGCAAGATTTTCAACATAATTTTTCTCAAATTTTTCTCTCCATGTAAGACTCGAGTAGATAATTTCTCGGAACATTTATTATTTCAATTGCTTCGCAGGAGACGCGAATCTTCATGTGATAGTGGCAACACCAGAGTACGATTCAGGCATCGAAGCACAGCTGGAACCATTTCTATTTGAATTCATTTCCCAGAAAAAAGGTAGCGTTAGTGCTGAACATGGAATTGGATTCAAGAAGACCAATTATTTAGAATACACTAAACATCAGTCGGCGATCAAGCTCATGTGCGAAATTAAGAAAATGATGGATCCTAATTCTATTCTTAACCCTTATAAAGTGTTGCCTCAATAAAAAGTGAAAGCCGTCATTTTTTTATGTAGATACGTCTATGGTTTGATTATGGGGGGGGGGGCATTAAGGGAAAAACACCTGATGGTTCCCTATCCTTCCTTAGTCCTCCACAGCTCTTCTCTGCAATTAGAGCCTGATGATACCAACAAAGAAGCAGCTCCAAATCAGGGCAGACCTACAACCCACAAACTTCTTCTGAGAGAAATGTCCTCATCTCCAGGTATGGTTCAACATCGTATAATAATAAAAACTAGTGGATTGGGCTGTTGGTCGCTCGCTGCGCTCGCTTCTATTGCGGATGGGTTCGTAGCGGATGTATTCATGTGGGTCTGACCCGTCGGACGGGTCACACCAACAACTTTCCGATATTATTATTCCTCCCATTTTGACTAAAAGAATCCTTTGCAACTCTGAATACTCTGTTTATTTGTTCATGAGAAACCCTTGTTTTTAATTACATGATATTCATAACTATACTCCCATCATTACATTGCCAGGGAAGAAAGCATCGATTTCCGCACTGCTCGTAAAGTCATACTCAGGCGACATTTTGATAAACACAGTTCTCACTTGATAATTTTAGACGCAAAAACTTGGTCAATCAAAAGATGTCGCGTTCATGAGAAATGTGTCGCATTTTCATGAGACGAAGTACACCACTGGTCTCAGCATCTGTTTTCATATAATATTTCTCTTAACTCAAAATACGATAAGATGTCTAGTGTTGAGAGTTAATATTAACATCGGAGTGATATAAATAATGAGAAATTTGGAAAAACAACAAACTTTCTTAGCAACTAACTTCAGATGAGTTAGTGACCAATTAGTAGAGGCGCCAGTCGATAACGATGTAGTCCAATTGGAATTTTTTTATTTCTCATTTATTGATGGAAAAACGGCAATTTTTGGAAAGAATCGAAAAGAATTATGAAATTTTCTTCATTATAATCGTTTTATATGTGATTTTCATGAGATTAAGGAACTGTTCGTTGCTTTTTTGTCATTTTGAAATTTTCTTTCCGGGAAAACTCAAAAACCACTTGTGACATCCGTCAGAAAATTCATTTTAATTCATTTTCTTACGTCGTCATTCAATTATCTCAGTGATAGAAGCGACTTTTGAAACCCAAATTATCTTCTGTGACGAGGGAAAGTGACCCTCTCGATGTTGGGAATATTTCGGCTGCACACATCTGTGAACGATAAAAATGTTCCCAACGTCGAGTTTCTCCTAGATTAAGGAGATATCAGCTGTGCAATATCAGATGCACTGTAAACATTTGAGTCTAGTCTCGTCTCCTTAATCATGTACTTTCCACGTGTGACCGTAAATTTCAATAAACACTGGACTCTTGAACCGGAAAACTGTTGATAACAAATTCTAAGCGTGGGTCCAAATTTTGTAACTCCCACGACAAATATTTGATATAAAAATAGAGTAACGATTTCGTTTCCCACATGGAGGAAATGACATAAACATTGACGAACATGTGACACAAAAATAGTAAAATGCATCATACAACAGAATGATTCTTTTATGAATAATTTTCCATTTCGGATATTAATTAAACTATCATAATTGTTTAAGAAATATTATCAACGTGGGAAAACCACAAAATAATTAAAGTTTAAACAATATTTTTATGTCATTGAATTATTATTGAATTACTATTAGATTACTATTTTTCTTCAATGAATTATAATTTATCATAACATTTCATGAAATTTATCTGAATTGTTTCTAAAAAATTAAATAACAAAGATGTTAACGCTAAGTTGAAAATAAGAGATAAAAGAGAATTGTGGAGGGAATATATGGGCATTCCTAAAACAATTTTCATTGGTTGTTGGGGAATAGAAAAGACCGCCTACACCCCAAAAACATCTTCATGTAGAGAGATGGAGTTGATCTCGAAACAAGGAGATTTCAAACCACTGGAGTGGGAAATTTCGGCTAGAGTCATTTGTAATTGGTCCCCGAAATTTCCCTATGCATTCTGAGGACACACCCTCCTAGATAAACTATAAAGACTTGTGCGTGATAGCAGCACGACAGTTACAGTTCCGATTGCATTTTGTAGTCATCGCTACAGTAGTAGTAGTAGCTCATATCTGAGAGTTAGTATACTCCAGTTTCTTTTGGACACAGTTCCAATTTTATTATCGACCTATTAAGGTGATATTTCGGGTTTTTCGCGACCTTTAATTTTTATATAGTCTTTGATGACTATTTAATTTCCATTTTAGTCTTTCGTGACTAAATTATTATCTGAAATCCCAAGTCTTGTAACATTTTTAATTATTTTATTCATTTAAATAAAGAATTTAATCCAACGTCTTAAATTCAGTGCGGCATTACTTTTAACCACATACAAAATACTTTACGACTGAAAGCAGAGCAGTGAATGTAAGTTGAATGTTGTAGTTATACTTTTCTACTTGTTTTGTTAAAATATAGACTCTATTGAGTCACTTTAAAGTTATTCTAAATTCTTTTCATTTTACTCCAAGTGAACCTTTCCAACCTTTGATTCCAAACCATTTTGGGGTTTAGAAAATTGAAGTAAAAGGGGACCTTTGTAAATGGGTTTTTTGTTTGAATTCTATTACTTAAATTCGAGACGATCTTTGAATTTAATCTTATTTCTTTGGTTCAATATATTGAATTTTAATTTAATAAAGTTGTGTCAAGTAACCCATTCTTGACGTAACACACTGAACAGATATTAGCCAAAATCTAATCCGCTCTGGGTTGAATGGAAACCTATCGATTGAAAAAAAAAGTCAAATCGGACAATTCGTTCACGAGAAATCATTAACCAAAATTTTGACCAGGTACATACCTAGTAACACACACACACACACACACACACACACACACACAGTCAGACATTTTGTTTAAAATTGTCTAGGAACATCGAAACGACCTTGAAACATGGAGATTTGATGAAAAATCGATTTTTGATTTTCGGGGCCATTACAATAACTTCCCTGCCGGGAAGTTAAAAGATCACTTTCCGTTGCCACAGGGCTGGCGCCCTTGGATTCTCCCGCAAAAAAGCGATCACTAGAAACACAGTATTTGGCAAATTGTTCCTTGTCCCCTCTGAACTTGGATGACTTCTATGATACTGATGACAGCCTCCCATCCACGCCAGATTAAGTGTTAAATCAAACAATGCTCGGTCAATTCACTGAGATGTTTGACAACTTTGATAATATGGACCTTTCAGAAATTGATCCCCACCTGGCCAAAAAAACTGAAAAAAAATCGGTGCAGTTCAAGCAGAATGCTGTCAAAACAGGAAGCCGAAGCTAAAAACCCGAAAACTCACGAAAAACAGTCAGAAAAAACAATGAGAAAATAGTGAAAAGAATCTTGAAACCAAACAAACAGATCGGAGAAACATACTCCGGAAAATTGAAAGCAACGCAAATGAATATCCAGCCGACCTCTCTGAAGATCTAATTGCCACGAGACTTGAGGAAACATTAGAGATGAAATTAGATGAACAAGGGAAGAAAACAAGGAAAAATGATATTATTAGCAAAGGCTTTAACGTAAGTGAGGCTAATCTTGATCAGAATGTTTCAAAATTCATTTTCGACACTTTCAATATCCCGGATGCGATTCAGTCTGCCGAGTTTG